AACATCCACGTCCGACTTGTCAAATTTGCGGCAAATTGGGACATATTGCCATGAATTGTTGGCATCGTTTTAATGCCGAGTACAACTCAAACCCGTTAGTTTCTGCATCCAAGGCTATTCTGACCAGTCATCTACCCACCACCACCAACGAATAGGTCCTTGATTCCCGTGCGTCATCTCACCTTATACCATATGCCTCTAATCTTCACTTCCCTACTCCTTACACAGGATCAGATACCATCTCCACTGCAAATGGCAGTTCACTTCCTATACAAAATACGGGTCAAGGCATTCTTCCTCTTCCTGACTCTACTCGTAAGCTCAAATTATGCAATTTACTTCATGTTCCTTTACTTTCACATAACCTCTTGTCTATCCACAAACTAACAACAGATAATAACTGTTCAATTTCCTTTGACTCCAATGGTTTTATTATCACTGGTCTACAGGACAATCGTATTCTCATCCGTGGACACAGCCGTAATGGCATCTACTCTCTTGTCACTCCATCCATCAACAATTACAAAGCTCTTCATTCCACTTCGTTCAACTCAACCATCTGTCATGCTAGGCTCAGACATCCAAACATTCGAACTCATCAGCACTTAGCTAAATTAGTTACTTCTATATGTACTTTCAATTCTCGTTTTATTTGGAAATCATGTAATATAGCCAAGAGCCATAAACTACCCTTTACTTCTTCTAGTTCTAATGTATCTAAACCTTTTATGTTAATACACTCATATGTTTAGGGTCTGGCTCCTATTCCGTCTATCAATGGTTTTCATTATTATGTACTATTTGTTGATGATTATACTCACTTTACTTGGCTTTTCCTAATGCAACACAAATCAGAAACCTTATTTAAATTTAAACAATTTTGCAATCTCATATCTACTAAATTCGACTCTAAAATTAAGACCTTTCGTTCGGATGGGATTGGTGAATTCACCAGTCATGCCTTTCGACTATACCTTCTCTCAAACGGCATTACACATCAGTTAAGCTGCCCCTACACTCCTGAACAAAATGGTCTCGCCGAACGGAAACATCGTCGATCATCTCCTCGACACAACCAGAACTCTTCTTCTCGTAGCCTCTCTTCCAAACCATTTCTGGGCCGAAGCTCTTCTCACATATGCTTATCTTATTAATCACTTACCCACAAAAGCTGCCAATCTTAGCATACCGTTCCATCTTCTCTATAATATACCCCAAAACTATTCGCATTTAAAAACCTTCAGCTGTCTTTGTTTTCCTTGGTTACAACCTCTAGCTCCAAATAAACTCTCTCCTCGCTCCCAAGAGTGCATTTTCCTAGGATATTCCTCCTCTCACAAAGGCTATCGTTGCCTAAATCTTACTACAAATAAAATTCATATTTCTCAACATGTTATCTTTCATGAGCAAACCTTTCCATTCAAATCTAAAACCTCTTCAGTCACCTCACCTCCATCCAATTCCTCCTCAAATCCATATCTTCTAATACCAATTTCCACTCTTCCTCAAACTCCACCAAGCAGTTCCACATCCACCATTCCACCAGACCAATCCAATTCCCAACCCATTACTCATGCTTCTCTATCAATGTCACCACCTCATACTTCCCCTGTTCAAACCTCCTCTGACTCTTACATACCTCCACCTTCTAATACTACCTCTATACATCCTATGAAAACTAGACTTAAAATGGGCATACATCGTCCCAAACCTATCTTCAATCTGTTTACTCAACCCAACTCTACTATTCTCCCAAACACCTACAACCAAGCCATTAAACACAAACATTGGCATGATGCTATGCTAGAAGAGTTCCTTGCTTTGCAAAAATAGGGTACTTGGTCACTTGTTCCACCGCCCACTCATGCCAACGTCCTTGGTTGTCGGTGGGTTTTTAAGATTAAACAATCATCATATGGTTATATTGAGAGATGCAAAGCTCGATTGGTTACTCAAGGTTTCACTCAAGAGTTTGGTATAAACTACAATGAAACCTTCAACCCGGTGGCCAAAATTCCAACCATTCGAATTCTACTTCTTGTTTCTCTCCACCGCGGCAGGTCCACTTTACAGTTTGACATCTCAAATGCTTTCTTGCACGGTGATCTTGATGATGAGGTCTATATGAAACAACCTCCAAGATTTGATGATACACAGCATTCTCAATATGTATGCAAGCTGCATAAGGCAATTTATGGCCTCAAATAAGCTCCAAGAGAATAGTACAACAAGCTGACATCTTTTCTCATTGCATTCAATTTTCATTTTAGCAAGGCAGATACTTCCTTGCTTATCTATCTCCAAGGTGAGATACAGATCTTTCTACTCATCTATGTATATGATCTACTTATCACCGGCGATAAATCAGTTGTCATTGAGCAACTTCTCCTCCAATTGAAACAACAGTTTTCACTCAAACCACTTGGAGCCATCTCCAATTTTCTCGATTTGTAGGTTAGCACAAACCGTGCTGGCACCTTCTTACATCAAACCAAATATATGACTGACTTGATTCAAGCTGCCGGTTTTCAGCATAGTAAATCAGTTCCAACATCTAGGACTTTAAAACCATCCAGGTGTTCCAATGCTGATGCTCCTTACTCCGATCCGCATCAATTCAGGCGTTTAGCTGGCTCCATGAACTACCTTACTATTACAATACTTGATATTGCTTATGCCGCCAATCAAATATGTCAAATTATGCATCATCCTACCGTGGCGGACTACTTAGTTCTCAAGCAACTATTGCGCTATATTCAAGGCACGATCGACTTTGGCCTTCCTCTTCTTCCAGGTTCGTTACAGCTTACCACCTATTCCGATGCAGACTGGGCAGGAGACACATCTGATAGAAAGTCTATTACTGGTTTATGCACTTTTCTGGGGAAAACACCTATCTCTTGGTGTGTAAAGAAACAACTTATGGTGGCCAAATCTTTCATGGAAGCAGAATATCGTGCGCTCTCTTCCGCCACGACATATGTCATTTGGTTACGCCACCTCCTCTCCGATCTCCTAGTTCCTCAACGTGGCCCGACTACTATCTATTGCGACAACACCTCCGCTATGGCTCTGGCTCATAATCCAGTTTTTCAAGCCAGGACAAAGCATATTGAGGTCGATTATCAATTCATTCGTCATCACATTGACACCAACACTGTGGCCATTTCACACATTAATTCAATTGATCAACCAGCCGATATACTTACTAAACCATTGCAACCAAACAGATTCACCAATCTTAGAAACAAATTGGGCATTTGCTCTACAAATGCACAATTTGAGGGGGACTGTCAGAGCACATGATGCCATATCCGCTGCTCCATATCACCTGCTCCACCTTCTTGCTTAAAGCTACATCTAACTAACTAGCCACGTGTCCTTACTTCATAAGTTGTTGAAGTTATATATACTCTTGTTGTTGTAGCATTGTTTTATCTTCATCCATTAAATGAAAAGCTGCTAGTTTACTCTTGCTATCCTACGTCTTTACTAATCCTTCTGTAGGTACAAGAGTCTTCAGATATATGTTTTATACATCAAAGACCACTAACATGCAACATTGTAAGGACCATAAGAAATCGTACAACAAAAACAACAACAACAAGTATTTGTCCGGCCACTACGTAGGATCAATTACATGAATGCTTTTTCTCCATTGTGTTTTGTAAAAAAAAAATTTCTAATTTAAATCTAATAAAAAAAGAACATTTCTAATATTTTTAACCAAATCTTTTTAGTTCTACCTCTACCTTTCTTAACATAAGTCAAATCTAATACCTCTATTTTCCTAACTGGGTCGTCGAAATGCTGCCGTTTTATGTTACCATAAGAAATCTTACTACAGGAAAAATGATTATAGACGGATAATAAGTCGCTGGAATTACCGGCGAGAATACGGGCGTATTTGACTCTAAGTACTTGAATAAATACTTTGACAAAAAACTTCAAAGGATTGGAGTGAAAGATATAAGAATTCAACATACGAACATGCTTTTCTCAAACTTGAGAAACATGCTCACATTTTCAGCCTTCAAGCAGTTAATTACAGCATAAAAAGGCATATGTAATTTCTACCTTATCGTGTATATATGACTACGAGCAGCCATAGCAAAGGGTGGCAATGGTGGCCTGTAGGAACTACTGGTGCAATTAAAAGTAATGTCAAGGATTACCTCACATGGCGAAGGACCATCGGCGATGATGAAGGACCATCGGCGAAGATGCTCTATGAAGGGTGGTTCACGACAAAGAAGTTTTGCAGCGTGGAGCCATGTGAGAGGAAGGTTTGGTGGCGATGTGTGGGGGGAAGACTGGTTTTGAGGCAGTGGTGAGCACAGGGATTAGATCTGCTAAGAGCACAAGAAGGAATTGTGAGAAGGCTTGGGCATGAATGAAAGAGACGAGGCCGGTTTGAATGGTCGATAGTTGTTAATGAAAATCCAATTTGCGATAAAAACTGCTACAAGAATTTTGTTGTAGTAGCATAATAAGCCTCCATGCACACTTAGTTATGGTATTTATCATTGTTAAAGTACAAATTAGCAGCAATTTTGAGACCACTCCAAGCATGTGCTAGCTGCCTTTGAGATCATAATTTAATAATGACACAAATATATATTTATCTGATGCATAGACAATAATCTAAGCAAAAAAAAACAGACATTTGAAATAGCATCCAATGTCTACAGGAAAATTAATCATCTATTACCGGTGGAAATTTGTTCATTTTCTGGCAGATTTGGAAGTTTCCGACGAATTTCGGTAGTATGTATAAATTGGCCACACTGGAAGATCATTAGAAGCAATTTGCAACCCATCTTGATTTGTTGGTTGGGAGCTTAAGGCTATCAACAGAAAAATTCTTCAGTTTTGAAGCTTACGTATGTGATGTATGTGTAAGTTCACGATAATTCACTCAAAAGTCTCAAAATAATGATAACTAATTCAATTCAATTGGACAACAATACTTATAACTATTACAATCAAAAGATCAACAATGAAAACTTTATCTACTACCATATTTAATTTCAACTCCCAATAACAAAATAACATAACAACACACAAAAAGAAAAAAAAATCAACCTTCAATTTGAAATCAACAATATTATTTCATTCATAGATCACTTCTCACCTTAATTTTATTCTACTTACTCTCATATCATTCCACAAACATTTGATATCAAGCAAGCATATACTAGCTAGCTTAATTGTTCAAATTGAAGATGAATTAATCACAAAGAACTTCAAAGAAGACCACATGATAAAGCCATCAGCAAGATAGCAGCATCCTTCTCATCCTGAGGAAACACTCTGTGGAAATTAGCTGAACTCTTATTTAAACTTACTACAATATCTTCAAAGCAAAGCTTTCTCTGTGTAGTCACACAACCCTCCGTAGCAAACCTACACCTCTTCTTAAAAGGCACTGTTCGGTCGACAAAATCTGATGCCTTATCTTTTCCATCTTTTAGTACTGCACCACTGCTCATAGCAGAAGCAGCCATTGCTCTTCTTGCTTTTCTTTGCCTTATTCCGCAGGCATTACACAGAGACTTCATCACGTGAAGACCAAAAGATAAAAAAAATAAAAATAAAAATAAACTTTAGAGATGTTTTTATAGTTATAAAGTAAGATGTTAGTTCCATATATATACCTTGGGGCCATGAGGTCCACTCCTCCATAGTGGGGTCTTAGTGGTGCTGCAGTCAGAGCAAACTCGAATAATATTGTCTTGGGCTGCTTGCTTTTGATCTTGGTGTTGATGATTGTTTCTTCTGGTTTTGATTTTCGGAGTTTGATTTGAATTTAGCATCTTTCTCATGATCCTCATCTTGGAAGACATCCATTTAACTGGTCCTTGTTGTTGATCCACTTCTTTAATATACTGCAATAGATAACAAAAACAATTTTGAAAGATTATAATTACAGGAATCATATATATGATCTATAAATAGTATGTAAAGCTGATGACTTATTTGATTACCTCTTCTTGTAGATGAGCCTGGTGATGAGGGAGAACTCCATGATCAAGTGCTATGTGATCTTGTTGGTTATGTAAGAAAAAAGGATATGGAGAAGTAGAAGAGGTACTAGTTGCTAGAGAGAGAAAGGGGATGTGGCTTTGACGTTGATTTTCATTTTCAAGAGGGAATTGGGGGATTTGGCAATTGTAGAATGGAGTCATGGAGATGGAGAGAAAGGGTCAGAGAGAGAGAGAGAGAGAGAGAGAGAGAGAGAGAGGATGAGGAAGAGAAGAGATGATGGAGGAGGTTCAAACTAATAAACAGAAGATAGATATGTAAGATTATAAGAGATATGTGACTAGAATGATCTAAGAGATCAAAAGTTTGATGGGGTTTCCATCTTCTTCGAGAAATGGTACTATTTTATAAGGATAAAGAAGTATAAAAAATAAGAAGCTTGTAAGGTATTCACGTGAACTTTTTACCCTCTTTATATGGACAAAACAAAAATTACGATGGTAAAAATGCTAAGAAGAATATGGCAACTCATCATGCAAACAAAAATTAAAAAAAAAAAAACGGTCATCTTTTTAAGGACCACCCTCTCAATTGCCTAAGAAAAGATAATTTTTAAACCTGCGATAATTACATTCTTTATCGAACCAGTGACGATACATCTATTTATTTTTAATTTTTAATTTTTAATTTTTGTTAAAAATTTGGGTGTAAACAAAAATTAAAAAAAAAAAAACGGTCATCTTTTTAAGGACCACCCTCTCAATTGCCTAAGTAAAGATAATTTTTAAACTTGCGATAATTACACTAACTCTTTATTGAACCAGTGACGATACATCTATTTATTTTTAAATTATTATTTTTTTGGTTAAAAATTTGGGTGTAACTCACTTTTTTTTTTTTTGCAAAAAAGGAATGATCTTATATTTTATTTGGGTCTGAAGAACTTTAAAGTTAATATAACGTACACCATTAATTGTGATCTGCAATTGGAAAGATATTAATGGGTCGAGCTTAATCAAATTTTAAGTAATTAATTATTTAATAAAGCTGCCAAAAAATAATTAGTCAATATATGCTATTAAAAATATTTAATTTATTTTAAAATCATATAGAAAATGATTACAAATGATGCATTTTCTTGAGGGAAGGCTTGGACACAATCTAGGAAATAGACATCATACATGACACATTAGATAGTTAGAGTTGGATGAATCCAAAGACATAAGAGTTGTTCTAAGAAGAACGTTGGCATGTTCATTTGTTCAATAGGACTAAAGTCGGGTGAAGGTGTTTTGAGGACCAAAGTCGAGCGACTAAGTTCAGAGGGATTGTAGTAGGGTAATGTAGGTGTGACGAATAATATTCGGGGTACTTTGGTCGAAGTGATTGTAGTCGGGAGATAGAGGTCAGAGGAATCATAGTCAGGCAATGATGGTTCGACGACTATAGTCAATGGGTGAAGGTGGTTTGAGGACCGTAGATGATAGTATATATATGTGGTCGAAGGAATCATAATCGTGAGGCAAAGCTCGGATGGATCGTAATTAGGTGACGGAGGTCGGAGGGACTGTAGTTGGCTAGTGAAGAAAGTTGGAGGGATCATAATCGATAGGTGACATAGGTCAGAAGGATCATGGCAAGCAATTGAGGTCAAAATGATTGTAGTCAGACAATGGTGGTCTAAAGACCATAGTATGTGGGTGACAAAGGTTGAGGGGATCGTAGTTGGGTGATGGTGATTCGAGGACTCTTGGTAGGCGACTATAACCTAAGGACCTTAGTTTTCAGGTAACTGTGATCAAAGGAACCGTAGTTGAGTGATGGTGCACTATGGATCGTAGTCGGATGACTAAGGTCGAAAGGATTATAGTTAGTCGGTGACAAAGGATAGAAGGATTTGGTCGGCAACAGAAGTTAGAAGGATCGTAGTTGGGTGACAATGGTCTAAGGATCGTAGTAGGAAAGCGATAGAGGTCTGGAGGGGGGGATCGTAGTAGGGTGACGAAGGTTGGAGGGATCATAAGTGGGTGATGGTGGTCTGAGGACTATAATTATTGTACAACTATGACCTAAGGAGTATAATTGACGGGCAACTATGGTCGAAGGGCCATCATTAGGAGATGATGGTTTGAAGACCATAGTCAACCAGTGATGGATATTGGAGGGACCATAGTCGATGGGTGATGAAGGTCAAAAGAATTGTGGCAAGCGACAGAGGCTAAAGAGATTGCAGTCGAGTGATGGTGGTGTGAGCACTGTAGTAGGTCGACGATTGAGGTTAGAGGGACCATATTTGAGCAATGGAGGTAGGAGGGACTATAGTAAGGAGAAAGAGATCAAAGGAATTAGTGTTGGGTTAAGGAGGTCAGAGGGATCATAGTTAGCATGTGGTAGAGGTTGAAAGGGCCATATGCGATAAAGGATGGAGGCTAGAGGGACTATTTTCATGCGTGTTGACCTCATTTCTTTATGAGATCACTAGTACCTACTTAGGTTTCTTTTTGGTGACCTAATGATTGGACGGTGTCCACTTCTCAATCATATATGTCCCAGTCAAAACCAAATCCAAGTCTACTCATCAAATCGAGTTCCACACTTCAATTTAATCTCTAGTCCAGTCTTCCGACTACATTGCTCACACCACCATCAGCTAACTTTCAAATCCTTTCCAATCAATTTCAATCATTCATTTGATTTTCATTGATGTGATAATGCAAACTCAACCATTAAAGTTCAAAATCCATTCCAAACCCAAGATTCCAAACTAAATCCCAAGGTTAAGGACCCAGATCCTAAAACCATTTATGTGGTTTTTGTACCACCTTAAAATTTACTCAAATGACATCTGATGTGGGGTCTATAAATTGCATATTATTTAAATATGTCTCCAAAGTCAACCCACAAAATTTGAACTCATTTTGAGATCTCTACCCTCATAAATTGAATTGATTTTCAAAGGCTACAAAACCTTTAAATATTTATAGCATCTGCCTCTAGACTTTCCATTCAGTGGAATTTGACCTTGGGACTCTTTCCAAACCTTCTAATCACATTCATGGCCTTTTTTATGACTTGTTGACCAATAACCTATACTTTGTTGGACCCAGTTTGACTCAATATTGACCAGGGATAAAAATGACAAAAGTATCATTTAAAGGGATTTTTATCCTTTCCCCAAAACTCAATATAGTTCAACCTTGAAAACCTATCTTAATGGATCCTAAATATCACTAGGAACACATTGGACCCAAAACCATCCTTTGGTTTGACATGGTTGACCAAAGTGTCCCTTAAGGGTTTAAACACCTATTTCCAACCAAATGACATACTCTTGATTTGAAACCACCTCCATTGAGTGCATATGATCAATTTGAACTCAATGGACCTAACACTTGACCCTAGGTCAACTTGGTTAACCAATTGAACCAAGTTTGACCAAACCAGCTCCCATAAACTTCCACCCTCTCAAACCTTTTGACCAAGACTTCTCTAAACCTATTCAAACCTATATGGTGGCCCATTAGGTCCCTAAAAGATCCATCTTGAAGACCCAAGCTTTGGGATCACTTGGACTAGCCATTTGTCTTGATCGAAGTGTCCAAAGAGAGGTCTCCCTTGAGCCAAATCCCATTATAAGCTAAATTGGATCAAACCAATACTGGAAATGGGTCCCCCATGATCCAACACCCCTTTCCTAATTGACCCAACCGTGGGTCAACTTTTGTTAGGAATTATGCCCAAAGTGGTCAAAACCACTATGGGTTGAGCCATTTCTAAATCTAAGTCTCACCAAGATAAATTAACACTTGTATTGGCTTGCCCTAGACCCAAGGCATCTACCCTAATCAGCTCAGCCCTTGGGTTAACTTGGTTCAACCTCTAGGCTAGCCTAAAGTGGTCAAAACCACTTTGACCCGAGCCAACTTCCATCTCAGACTAGATTCGACCCAATTAACACTTGCATTGAGTGCCCCTTGACCCAATACATCTTCCCACCTATCTTAACCCAAGTTGCACCCAAACTGACCTAAATGATACATGTTTGGGTTAACCTGATCCTCTCTATCTTCGGGGCCATATATAATTCTTTCTTAAATTTGGCTACGATATTCAAGGCGGGATTTGCAATTCTAAATATGGCCCCTTATGCCTCCCTTCCCTGATACAAATAGAATCTCAAAGGATTCTGACCCCTTATGTCTCTCTTTCTGCTTACAGCACCAGAACATATCAGATATACATAATTATCATATCAAAATTTATTTTCAAATTCTTGGACCCAAACAGAATCTCAAAAGATTCTTTCCTCTTATGCCTCCCTTCCCTAACACAGACAGAATCTCAAAAGATTCTGGCTCATTATAACTCCCTTATGATATCATTCAAATCACATCAAACATCGATTCATATCAAACTCAGAGAAATCAGATTCGTATCAGAATATCTTCGGAGGGTATAACGACAAATAACATAAATTCAACTGATCAGAAATTCATAGTTTCAAAAAATTACCAAATTATCAGAGATGTTGTAAAACATCATCTCAAGATTTTCATTGTACTGAAGCAATATTTTTTGACATCCAGATAATTTTCTATTTGATATAAACCTCACATAATAATTCAAAATACTCGATGCAAAATTTTCAGAAAATACTCAAAACGTGCAAAATCATAATCTCTACGACATACCAAATGTTACGCGGTAAAAGTTTTACCGGTGTAATGTTATACCCATTTTTCGCTAACATAAACAAAATTTTAAAAAGAAAATCCGTCATAACTCATATTTCTGAAAATTGAGAAAGACATAATGTGCCTTACTTCAAGTCGATCAACTTTCCTAACTGTGGCAATGGACGAAAACGAACCGAAGTCTCCCAAAACTTGACTTTTCTTCCTCTTTCCTTTGTTTTCTCTCTCCTTTGCTTTCTCTCTCTTCAAAAATATCTCAAATCCTCTATTTAATGAACTTGATCGTCCTGATAATGTCCTGGTTCATCCCAGGACAATCTCCTCTATTGGTTCACAAATACTATTCGTACGAACAAAAATTGCTCTTCGTACAGGGAAAGGCATCTACCCTAATCAGCTCAGCCCTTGGGTTAACTTGGTTCAACCTCTAGGCTAGCCTAAAGTGGTCAAAACCACTTTGACCCGAGCCAACTTCCATCTCAGACTAGATTCGATCCAATTAACACTTGCATTGAGTGCACCTTGACCCAATACATCTTCCCACCTATCTTAACCCAAGTTGCACCCAAACTGACCTAAATGATACATGTTTGGGTTAACCTGAGCCTCTCTATCTTCGGGGCCATATATCATTCTTTCTTAAATTTGGCTACGATATTCAAGGCGGGATTTGCAATTCTAAATGTGGCC